ATATACAAAACATTTGGATTTTACATAGACAGAATAAGGCTAGAGGAACAACATCGAAAATGTGAGACCTATACAAAAACAAACTGTTTTTTGATACTAGATCACCAAACCACCATTAATTTCTTATTGGAATAATATGTTACTACTGATATGCAATCAACTTATGATGTTGGATAATGCACACTTTTGGATCAGTGTATATTATTTCAACCTTAATATTGAGATTAACGCCCAAATTCCAGATTGATGAGGCCCTAATGATTTACAGATGTGATAACACAATCCTACAACACTTGCTGCTACCACCTTCAACTGAACAGACAACATGCTCTCGCTTTAAAAACATCCCAGAGGCAATGATCTAGATTCTTGCGAGATCGTCTTATGCAACCAAGACACATAAACTAACATGTATGAACGCATGGCATGAACGCCATGCTTTGGGGAGTTTCAACATCCGACTACACCCTTACAACATACCAATGCAGGTTGAATAGAGGGAGACAGTGGCTGCATTTGGGAATAGTCCATTTGTAATGTTTTGCTTGTATCCATCAACAGTAAAAGTATCTTGTAAAAACATTTACGAGTGCATCCTTTCATTCACACACACTTCTTCATGTTGGCCATTGCTGGTAACTAGAGCAAATCTCAGGTATTAAAAAAGTCAGATTTATTAATTATCATTAAAGTGGCAATTTCTTTTTCTCATACAAGTATTAAGATGATAATAAGATGGGAGTAGTATAGCTACAACTGAGGAACACATTAGTTGAAATAAAAATGACTTACACTGGCACTGTAAATTAAACATTTAAGCAACAAAGGGCCAGGCCATAGAATGACAATGAAAAGATATCCTTTGAAGGTAGAAATAATAATACAATAAACATCCGGAAAAGTGCTATACAAGAACAAAGTCGCTTTATAATTTGTGCATTTCATTCATTCTGAGTTGGTAAACTACTTCAAGTCACAGCTGCCCAGGGGTAGATTAACAGAAGTGAGGGGGCCAAGCTCTGCCATCATTCCCCTCCGACCACAGCAAATCACTCTCTCACACAGCCGTCCATTTTCTTCCACTTACCCGGGGCTGGGTCGCGGGGGTAGCAGTCTAAGCAGGGACTCCCAGACTTCCATCACCCCAGACACTTCCTTCAGCTCCAGGCGTTCCCAGGCCAGCCGAGAGACATAGTCCCTTCAGCGTGACCAGCGTGGCCCGGGGCCTCTTTCCAGTGGTACATGCCTGGAACACCCCCCAAGGGAGACGCCCAGGACGCACCTGGAACAGGTACCAGAGTCACCTCAGCTAGCTCCTTTCAATGTGGAGGAGCAACGGCTCTACTCCAAGCTCCTCCTGTGTGGCTGAGCTCCTCACCCTATCTCTAAGGGAGTGCCCAGCCACCCAGCGGAGAAAACTAATTTCGACCGTTTGTAGCCCAAAGCTCAGGACCATAGTCACGACATCTCTCACACATCACATACTATATACATATTTTCAGGTAAGAGGGCCATCCAATAGTCTTTGGGAAAGTTACTTCTGGAGCTGTTCCTTCAATATTTTATCACTACAGACTTTGTTATCAAAATATAAAGTAAATTTAAAAAAAAAAATGCCATACTGAGCAGTAGTGTTGCATAAAGCAGTTAACAACATTACTGCAAAGGACTACAACAATCAAGTTTATGTATGATGTTGTCACTTAAAAGTAGGCTATTGGACACACTGAACATGAAACTACTAGTAACTTTAGGCTTCTCAGGGATTGGCTACAATAACTAGGCTTACTTGATTCTAGTGAATCATGCTGACCTACTGATGTCATCCCCATTCTTCTCAATTTAAAATCCTAAACGTGAAATCCTTGACTAGCAGAATCAACATGGAGCAATGGGATATAACATGCGAATGTCCAATGATGACAATACAACCCATAAGACATGGCCTACCTGTTGAAAGTGGAGGCTAAACCACGTCCTCGTCACTTAGTTCCGAAGAGCTTAGGCTACAATGCAAACAACATGACCGTGAGCGATGCTGAGAGCCATCAAAGTGCTCTGCAACAACAGCGGCCGGTCATTGTCCAGAGGCTACGAGCGGTCAGACACAGCCGCACAGGTGCAAATGATGAGAGAAGCGGATACAGGACGATACCATCAACAGCGCCGAGGAGGGCCAACAACTTTCACTCAGAAAACTACTTACGATACTTTTTAGGTTCATAACCAAAGGTAGCTTTGAAGCAGAGTACAATCACCGCGAACACATAAAAGCAAAAATACAATTTTCATTCAATGAAACGGCTATGACGTTTGCCACAACTGCCTACAAATATTACACACCACTCATCAGCCTACTTACAAAGCGGTTTTACCCATTTGTTGTCCTCCAAAAGTTAAGAAGAAATATACCAAGAAGATACTTACCAAATATCACACAAATCCTGCCAAAACCCAGGGAATAAAGAAGCTAAAGGCGTGCGTGAAGTTCACCGTGCCTACACTTCCTTAGCTCTTAAATCGGGCCTAGCCCAGCCCATTGATGGAGTAGCTAGAAGAGGTGGAGTCAGTGCTGTACTCCTTCCTCCTAATATGGAGTTATTATTATTATGATAAATTAAATAGCTTCAAACCCTGTGGGAGAGAAGGTGTCGATAATTACAGAAGAATTATGAGCACTTTTCTTCTTCTTTATACTTTATGTCGAGGCTAGATAAAAAATTGCCACTTTAACAATAGCATCATCACATTATCAATGCACTGAATCAACAATACTATTCTACAATACAATATTAGAAGTTAAATCTAAACTGAGTAACGTTTAAAAATTCACACACACAGATATTTGTTCTTAAGATCATATGATCTGCATGTAAGATGCACAATGTGATAACTTACAAAACAGTGTTTAGTTTTTGCTCTTTCATGAACTTGAAAGACATGAACATGATCTACAGAAAAGATAAAGAGACAAAGCTTTACGTGTAGACGATAGAAACAAAATGATTTACATAGCTCCACAGACTGTAGGCCTGTATAAACTGAGTGTTTCTCACATGTTCATACAGCAAGAGAGTGGTGATAGAAGCAATCCATATCAGAACTATTTTATTTATGCAATTTATAGAGAAAAAAAATTAGTCTGAATATAGATTGTTTTATATGTTAATACTACAATACTACAAGCATCAGTTGTAATTAGTTTGATCAATTTTGTGTTCAAGTTCTAGACTATAGGTGCACCTTGTATTTAAAACATGTCATATCATTACTATGGTTAGAATTCCAGTTTCTTCATAGAGGCATGTGGAGGTAGCGATTTCTGTGTAGCTTCACTTTTTTACGATTGCAGAGAATTCAGGGAATCAGAGTCATGAGGCCGGTCAGAGGTGTAGCACAAGGCCCACAAGCCAAACAGTGCGTGTTTATGAGTAATCCATCTCAGAAACTGTTAACTTTAAAGTGGTGAGGTAACACCTTCACCTGGGGGCTTACTGACAACCTTCTAACCAGGGACTGTAATTTAAGATCAGGTGTCACTCTGAGTTTAAGAAAAATTGAAAGTGTAGTACTCAGAGCTTTTGAAAACTTAAGTTTATTTTAGTACTGCAGGTATTTTAGTACTGCAGGTAATGTTGAGAATGGACAAGTTGGTCAAAATTATCTTGTCAAAACCAGCACATATACTCTGTACACTGTGATTGGGTTAAGAGTGCTGAGTGACAGATGAAGCTGAAAGATGCAGTACTGGTTGAGCTTCTCCCAGTTTGACATTTCTGTTTGATGACTGAAAACTAGAGCATAGTTCAGTGAGGACCTGTCTGTCATTGAGGAGCCTGGGCATGACTCATTGTTTCCTGTTGTCATCATGCTATGCGTGTAGATGTGAATTGTGAAATACTCAGATATTTCTACTCCTCTGAACTCACTGATCGTATTTTTGTCATGGAAATTAATGTGCAAATAAAAAAGCTCATCATTCATGATAAGAAGGTAGTTTTAGTTTGATATGGTGCTGGCCATTGAACTCTACCTTTTCCTTATACCAAAGGACAAAATGACCATGAACCATGAGCCTATTGTTTACACAGGTACAAGGAGATAAGGAAATGCGCTTGTGACTGTAAAAAGGTTTCCCTTGAAAAGTGCATAGTGCCACACAAACTACCAGGGTGACATCAAGTGGATATCTTGCATTAATGCAGCCTTAAAAGGAAGTCACTTAAGTGTTATTACATGGATTGGATCTTTGGATAACAGTACTAAAACCTGAGCAAAGTGACACAATCAGCAGTGTTATAACAATCTCAATCCTCAAGGACAACTGTTATCTTAATGATTTGTGAGTTCCGAGAAGCTTTCAGAGTACCCAATTTCTCTGTAAAAATTTAGTAATTGCATGTGCTGGTTAATCCTGATTCATGTGTTATTGATCAGTGTAGGAAGCTTTGGAAATGCACAAGCCACATACAGAAGCTATATGAGTATGTAAGTAATAACAGCTCTTGTGAAGCCTGGTGTGGTAAATCAAAACAATATAGGTACAGTTGTTTATACTCATGTAAAATCATAAGTGAAATAACTGAAAAAAGGCATTCCTGCTACACCAACTAGCCAGTAACCACTGCATTTTCTACTGCCTATACAACTACTACAAATACTTTTTATAACTAAATTTTTAACCAATTTGCACCAGAGTTAAAATACATTATTTCCACAAGACTGGGCTATCACTTTAAGACTAGCCTTTTTTGGCTCCTTTGGTAGTTTCTTAAAAAGGCCAAGAATCTAAATCATATGTTATTGAGAGTTGGCCAACCAAACAAGCAGAAACCATATGTGGGATTGTTGTGCTTCTTTATCCAATATGGGACTGAAAGGGCTGGCTTTCTCAGGACCTCTCCAGAGGGCTTAACTTTGGGATAAGGGGGAAAAATAAGAAAGAGGAGGGGTGAGCCAGTAAGACTTAGAAAAGTCTCTTCCACTCTTTATAGGTCCTCTTTGAACACACCCACAAGGAAGACTCGGACGGCTACAGCCAGACAAAGTCAGGATGTGACATCACCCACAGGAAGAAAAGCCAAACAACTTTTTTCTGCCTTTACTCTGTTACTGTTGACGAAATCTGGGAAGTGGTGGGCTAACAGCAGCTGTGAAGAAGTGGAAGAAACAAAGTGTCACAACACTCCTCATCTGGGAATTTACTGCCAAAGTGGTCTAACATTGATCCACTCCTGATCCTGAGTTCAAAAAGGTACATTGTAGTTTTCTCAGAGTTTTTACTACTAACTTTCAATTTGCTCTGTTCTAACTCCTTTCCTTCGTGTCCCAACCTAAGAAAAAGTGTCTTCAGAAATATGTGCATGCAGAGATTGCCAACTGCTCTACATGATCAGGCACGCTTTCCTGGGAGACTCCTAAGGCATGCAGAGCTACTTTCCCACATACTGTCACCGTTTGAATAAACCAAAACCAAGGGTGTCATGTTATGAATGCTTGTCTGGGACAGTGTCTTTGTAAGAGCACACAAAGATCTGTAATATGAAACTCAAATGCCTTGTTCTGGCCATGTATCTCATGACCACGTCTTCATCCTCCCTCTCCGACTTCAAATTGAGGCAGACTAGTCCTCTAACTCTGCCTGTGCATTTGAATAGGAAATACTCAATTAAGCATAATTTATACACCATATACGTGACCTAACATGCACATAATAGGTCAATTTTACTTCCTTGGTTTTGACCATCGGGCCATAAAAATGTAGCTCAAATTCAGACATAGTATCACGTTGCAATCACTGTGACTTGAATGTGAATCTGGAGCTAAATCTGGATAAACAATACAGGCGTTAATCCTTACTGTATTGTTGAACATAGCAGAACATTAAAGGGTTGACACACATTAAAGGGCTTACACTTACAGTACTGTATATACCAATCCAGAGGCACAATATTTTATAGGACACAACCTTTGACCTCTTCTCTAATAAAAGTTATTACTTAAATTAAAGTACATGAACAGAGAATGTACAGTGGCCACTAGTTAATAACTTATACATTAATAACTAAAGCTAATACTTAGAATTGTTTGTGTGAAATTATAAAATCAATAAAAGTTGTCATTTTCATAACAGATGTTTAGATAAGGAGCAAAAAATAAATGTATTGGCTGTCACATGAAACTTAATATTTTTTGTAAGTAAAACTAAGTAAAAAGTTAAAAAGTTATTCATGTGTAATTAAAGTATATCTTTTGGCTACAGGCTATTGTTATTGGCTCTTATTTTTATGGACATACACTCTTGTTAAATTATGTTTAATGACTGTACTTAACATAGTAACAATGAGCTTTTAAATTTACATAATACACCAGTCACCATGATGTCAAACAAATTTTTTGTCATGACTCACATTTAACAACACTGAAGTGACTTATATTGTGTGATTCTGCCCCACAGACTCTAAACTTTATCCAAACAAGACACTGATCCCTATGACCAGATCTGTCAGCCGGATAAAGTGTGGTCACCTCAGCGGAAAGTCAAAATCTACAAAAGTAAACATTATTTCAGGGAGCCCATTCCCCCCTTATCACCGGGGAAACCACTGAGTTGATGGCTCTGTGTCTGGGACAAGTTTTCAGCAAAGACAAAACATTCAGACCAAAGAAGAGATTTGAACCAGGAACACAGAGATTTGAACTGTATAAGAAAGCCCAGGCCTCGCTGAAATCGGGCTTAGACTTGAGGAGAGTGGTCCAGCTGCCAGAGGGGGAGAACATCAATGACTGGATAGCGGTACATGTGGTCGATTTCTTCAACAGAATCAACTTGATCTACGGGACTATGTCAGAGTTCTGCACAGAAAGAACCTGCCCCATTATGTCAGGGGGGCTGCGGTATGAGTACAGATGGCAGGATGGGGAGAACTACAAGAGGCCCACCAAACTTCCTGCTCTAAAGTACATGAATCTCCTAATGGACTGGATAGAGTCCCTTATAAACAACGAGGACATCTTTCCCACCAGAGTAGGTATGTGTGTAGGGGCAAACTGACCTGATTCGCTGAATGTGTGTAACCTAATGCAGAGAACTGACTGTGGCCTCCAGTGTTTGATGCATCAGGGATGAAGTGGCAAGCTGCTCACCTTTATTAGGATCTGAAATGGGATAACACAGTTCAGAGGGAGGTTAATTAAACTGTATAATGTTGACATTTAGAGGAGATTGGATGGCTGTGCTGCTCTGTGGTAATTTGGCTATCAACATTTTCTGTACATCAGTTTTATGGGTTAGCTGCTACTGCTCCACCACAGCCTTGGTTACCAAATATGCTGTGCTGATTAAATATTTGTCAGTTTGAATAATACACAGAGGCTTTTCCCTGTGTTCATTCTGCAGTCTTATTGGAAGGCTGCAATGTGCAATATTATAAAATGAACATTAAGCAATAACAATGGATATCTTTAATACGCCTAATTCCCCATATAAGTTTATTAGTGCTAACAGCTAAATCTGATCTGGGTAAAGACATGCATATTGCATAGCTCACAACTGTGTCTCAATAAGACTAAAATAATGCTCATTTATGTTTATTAAAATTGTGTGATACTTATTTTTATGCTTATTTTGCCCTCAATATTATTCCAAAGCTATATATTCAACAGTGAGGCCCCCCCCTCCCAAAAAAAAAAAAAAGAAAAAATATTATTTACAATAGAAAGCTTGCTAAGGCCTAATCAGTTACGTAGTAAATAATGAGTACAACACCTATAATTTATTAAAATCTGTTTCTGAAACTTTATAAACCTCCAAGTTATCAAGACATTTCATAGAATCTTGAGTTTTAAACAGACTTTTGGAGTTAAAACAACCGCATTATGGATATAGTTACCCCTCTCTTTTCTTTCAGGTGTCCCATTTCCAAGGAACTTCCAGCAGGTGTGTAAGAAGATCCTGAGTCGTCTCTTCAGAGTTTTCGTCCATGTTTACATCCACCACTTTGACAGCATCTGCAGCATGGGAGCAGAGGCCCACATCAATACATGTTACAAGCACTACTACTACTTCATCACTGAGTTCCACCTAATTGACAATTCAGAACTGGAGCCTCTGGTAAGATTATAAACACATCTAGAGTAATATATAAATTTGTACTTGATTGATGTGAAGTTAAATGCCCTCCTACTTTATTCAGCTTGACTCTGATATATAAGTTATGCCTGCCATGATAGCCAATTTTTAAGTGTGATATATTGCTGAAGTAAATATAGATGATATATAGACAAGTGTATGCCACTGACACAATAATACTAAAGCAGGATTATCCCTAAAAAAATATTCTAAATGTACAATATTATTAAAAAAATCATGAGCTGCAATAAATAAAAATACCAGAATGAAAGACTGTACTTTGCATTGTAATGAGTCATAGAAGATATTCATTCACCTTTTAAATAAAACATTTCCTAGTAGTGTAAAGGAACTGTACACATGATAAATTTTGAGCCCAAAAATATATTGTTCTAGCTTTCATATACTGAACAATAAGTCGATACAGTATTTAGCGTGACAGAAACAGGTAGAGTCTGTCTTTAGGGGAATTGTTTTATACACAACACATGAGGAAAGTCTATGTTTCAGCTGGATGGGCCATATGAAGAATTTGTTTTCAAGCAACAATAAACATTTCTGCTATCACCATCATAAAGCCACACATGATAATGTCCTTACAAAGAGAACTGAAGATAGGACATTTGGGTCAACATCACTAGAGATAAATGTAGCAAACATACTCCTTTATTGTTTCTGTTAGTACCTCAGGCACTGCTTTGTTACAGGTGGAGAGGAAGTATAGTCTGGACTCTCCCATTATTGCACACATTTCCCATTACTGTTATAAATTTTAACAGCTTTTATCACTCAACACAATTTCATGTGTATGAGCTAATGTTCTATATGTGTCATTTATTTTGTTTGTGCCCCACAGAAGGAGATGACAGAGAAGATATGCCATTAAAAAGAGCTATGGACAAGTTTACCTTTCACCTTTATCTGAGCCCAAGAGACATTCCATTTCATTCAGTTAATATTGTCATTTCATATGTGCATGGCCAACTATGAGACTTTGATATTTCCACTAATATTGGTAAATGGTGCAGCAATGCTATTTCTTAGGAGTCAAGGAAATATATCACAGCTTATTTTTTATTTTTGCATGAATGTTTTTTTTTTTCTTTTATGACCATTAATTGTATTAAAAATACATTTTAAAAATTCAGTCTGATTTAACACTGTTTTGTTTCAGGGCATCCTTTTACTTATGCAGCAAATGCTTACGTAATCATCTGAATTAACGGAATCTTAACCAAGCAAAAACAATCAAAATGTGTTAATCTAGCAACTGTATTTTGAGGGAATAACAATACTAACAGGTGTTATGTCAGATCCCTTCAGAAATCCCCTCTACGTGGACTGGGCGGGACTTAGAAACACATCGGTGATGTCATTATAGCGACATCCTTTTTAGTCCAATAGGAGACAAGAAAATAGTCAGGCGCGCGGGGGGCGGGCCACTCTTTGTTTACGTCTTTCCCGCGTGTGCGTCACTGGTTGTTTGATGGATCCCATCTAGTAATGGATGCCTACCTTATCCGCCTTTAACAGGCTTTAACATTCGGGATTTGGCTGGACTTGTCCAGGTTAGAAACTATTAATACTTTTCAGTATGTGATATGTTGTGTGGGGTGGATCAGCGTATAGCGCAGTGGGAACATTTAGACGATGACAGCGTCAATGCTAACTAGCCATGTTAGCTTATAACTTAAAACACTGTAATGAAATTTATTCCTGCTTACTACTCAGGCTATGTGTAAAATACTACTGCTGCCATATGGTTTTATTTTATAAGTTTTATTCCGAAAACTAAAATGAATGTTATGTTCTTAATAAGATCGGCATGTTGAGAAGTTACAGAAGAAGCAGGTGGTGTATCAATCATTATTACAAACCAGTCGATTGCTTTATTTTGTGTTTTCTCAGTTACGGAAATGGTAAGGTACGGTATGATGACGGAATTACAATCCTTCCAGGTTCCACCCAAGGTAGGAAGTGTACTGTGACTGCATTACCTTGACCAGAAAGTGTCAGCATGTAGTTCATTGCACCTCTGTTTGCCAGAGATGTTGTACCACTTTTCATGACTTGGGCCTATAGCAAATTCTGAAAATATTTAGGATGGGTTGGGGCTTGCGAAGAATGAACTTACTGCCCTAATCATTCTTGGGCATGCAGCTACAAGATTCAGTTTTAAAATAAGCACATACTGTATTTACACATTTATTAAAAAGGGAAGTGCAATGACCTTCTGGTGTTTTCCATACACAACATGATCTCTACAGCCAGACCAGCACTTTCTCCCTCTTGACCTGATGTAGCCTCCTCTGTCACAGGACAGCTCCAGCGCTCTGAGCCAAGTTGGGCAGAGCTGTGGAGTATCTGAGGACAGCAGACTCACTGCAGAGCAAATACAAAAACTATCTGACGGCCCTACAGGTACTTCAAACACTGAGCATAAAGTGGGTCATTTTTATTTGTAAGTATTTTTTTTATCCATTTCTCTTTACATGGTAGAATGTGAAAAAAGCCAACCAGTAAATATTGTGGATGCTGCTAAAAGAAAGAAGAAGAAAAGAACCAGAGCCACGGACAGCTTCACTGGCACTTTTGATGGTGATTTTTTTTAAATTTTGGGTTTGGGGACACACTGTGCTTGTTGGTGCAGCAGTAATGGCACTTTTGTCTCCTTTTGGCAGATCTGTACAAACTCACGGATGAAGTGCTGGGTCAGGGAGCTTATGCAAAAGTACAAGGATGTATTGGTCTGCAGAATGGAATGGAGTATGCTGTAAAGGTGAAATCTTGCTGATATTACCATGCCAATCTGTAATAACTCAGCGTTAGTGATTTTTTTGTTGCCATTGTTTTTTGTATAAGGAATTTACAATGGACTAATAAAGTAAGTGTACATTATTATTAAAAGCTCTGTATATACAGATTATTGAAAAGTGTGCTGGGCATAGTCGCAGCAGAGTCTTTCGAGAAGTGGAGACACTTTATCAGTGCCAAGGAAACAAGTGAGTGCAGTTGGTAAAGCAAATGTGACCATTCATAATCCTGTGAAACACAAATGGTAATCAAGTACATATCTTCAAACAGGAACATTTTGGAATTGATCCAGTTCTTTGAAGACAGCAACTATTTTTATTTAGTATTTGAGAAGCTGCATGGAGGTAAATTTATTGTTAGCTTTCCCCTCTTAATGATATGTTATAGCAATATAGGTTTTTTTATTTCTCTTCTTTAGGTTCAATTCTTACACATATTCAGAACCGAAAGCACTTTGATGAATTGGAGGCCAGTAAAGTAGTAAAGGAT